GGCGGCTGGGCGGCCCCCGAGCCAGAGCGCCGAGGAACCCCCCGAGCCGGCCCAGGTAAGGTGGTGACAGCCACGGGGTCCCCTCAGCCCTGCGTGCACCGGGACGGGTGGGCAGCGCTGTCTGCTGTGCCGTGGCTGTGCCAGGAGACTGCGCCCGCACCTCCCTGCTCCGACTTCGTCCCGCTGCAGGATGCCTCCTGCTTGGCCACGGGATCCCAGAGCATCCCAGACACCGAGGTGAGGCCGGGGTGCTGCCCGCGCCGTGCCCGGGTGGGTCCCGCCTGGGCAAACAGCGAGGAGTTACCCCCCTCCCTGTTCTTTTCTCCTTCTCTTGCAGGGAACTGAGCCCCGGGTCCTGTCCGCCTCCGCCTGCCCCTGCCTCTGTCTGATATGTTTGATATTAGGTTGTTTTATTGGAAAACCAACTAAATATCAAACATATTCTTACAGTGCCAGGGATGCCCAGCGCCGACCCGGCAAGATACTGCCTGCAGCATCCCGTGAGCAGAGGGGAGTGTGAGGGGTCCCTCTGAGCCTCCGCCCGCCCTGCACTAAACCCCGTCTGCCCGCACCGCATGCCCGTCTCCACGGGGCTGGGGAGAGGGAGCCAGGAGCTGCCACCCGCGGGGGCCGGCGGAGGTTTGGGATGGTGGCGGGGTCAGCACTCGCCACCTGTCCCCCTGCTCATGCCTGGGATGATCCCAGGGCAAAGGCACGTGGCCCTGTGCCCGCCGCTGGCTCCTTTGCCCCCATGCGTGGGATTATTTATGGCTCTCAGGGCCCTTCGTGGGCACCGTCCCCTCCTGGTGCCCTGCCCGGGGTGTGGGGAGCTGCCACTGGGGTCTCTGTCTCCTGGGTGCTGACCCATTCAGCCCCCCAAATCTGTCCCTGGGTGGGAACAGCGCGTCACCCCCGTGGAAGATCCCGACCTGGCTCACAGACCAGCAGGACCTCGTGGCCGGCGCGAGGAGGCTGCTAATCTCCTTGGCTGCGTAGGAAGTGCTGCCGCTCGCCCTGAGAATTCCTCCCTGCGCCTGGGGAATTTGCTCCTCCAGCTGCCAACAGCATCTTTTGTCTCGCTGCCAAGCACTGGCTTGGCCGGAGCTGGGCTTGGGGCTCGGGGTCTCCCCGGTGGGTTCTGCTCTGGGTGTTGGGCTCAGGTCCCCCCACTGCTCCCTGCTGAGCCAAACAATTCGGGTCAGGGGCTGCTGCTAAGCCCCTTCTCTTAAAATAGTATCCGACTGAGCTTGCCCTTTTCCACGCCACCCCCAGACACGGGTAAATGTCAACCCAGGGGCCACTAAAACTTCCTGAGCCCCACCAGTGGGGTGCAAACTGGGGAGCTTCACTGTCGGTGCTGCCCGGACCCAGCTCAGTGTCCCGAGCGTGTCCCAGGGGAGTGGCCGGGTGGGAGCACAGTGTCCCCATGACACTGGTCAGGGTGTCCCATTGCGCGGGGGGGGCGGGCAGCCAGGACAATGTGGGACCCCCCGCTTGCAGACCTGACGCTGCTTTTTATAACCACCCCAGCTGTCCTCAGGAGCCCAAATAAGGCTGCGGCCACCCAGGCCCCCCCAGGCAGACAATGGGTCCCGAGCACAGACTTTTTGGGAAGGTGGGGAGGCGGCTCGGCCCAAGAAAGGCAAATCCCCCGCACCGGCGGGCAAGGCAGAGTTGATAAACCGGGCGGCGGGGTGGCAGGCAGCACTGCCCCCCTGCCTGCCCCTTGCCTGTCCCGCTGCCCGCCGCCGGCACCCGTGTCCCACCGAGGATGGAGGCCATCAAGAAGAAGATGCAGATGCTGAAGCTGGACAAGGAGAACGCCCTGGACAGGGCGGAGCAGGCGGAGGCTGAGCAGAAGCAGGCGGAGGAGCGGAGCAAGCAGGTAGGGTGGGTGGCAGAAGCCCCCAGCCCAGGGGTGGTTTGTTTTTTTTTTTGGGGGGGGGGTGGCTTCTCCCTGAGCTGGACCACGCTGAGCCCAGGGCCAGCACAGACAAGGGGTACAAGGGGGGGAGAGCTGCCACTGTCCCACAGCTCAGGGGCCAGGGTGAGATGCTGTGGGGCTCAGCCCCTGCCAGCTGGTGGCATGTGGGACAGGGATGGATGCTGTGGGGCAGAGCTGGCCCTGGGATGGGGCAGGAGGGATGCGGTGGGGCAGAGAGGAGCTTGCGATGGGGTAGGCAGGGCTCTCCTGCCATGTGGGGGTCCAGAGGGGCAGCCACCTGCGGTGACCGCCTCTGCCCTTCCAGCTGGAGGACGAGCTCGCCGCCATGCAGAAGAAACTGAAGGGGACAGAGGATGAGCTGGACAAATACTCTGAGGCCCTGAAAGATGCCCAAGAGAAGCTGGAGCTGGCGGAGAAGAAGGCGGCGGATGTACGTATGGGGTGCAGGGTGGGAGCTGGGTTGGCTGCCTTTCCCTTGTGGCCCTCCCGGTGGGACCACAGCCCTCCCCTGTGGCCTTGGGGACAGAGAAAGGTCCCTGTCGGCCTCGGGGCACTCCAGGCAAAGCTGTGGGGGTGTCTGGGAGCAGAGAGTGACCCCGGGAAGGACACGGAGTCACAGCTGCCAGCGGAGGAGCTGAGCTCCAGAGGAGGAGGGAGCCCTCGTCTCCCCGGGCAGGCAGAGGCCGCATGGGCAGCGTGACAAGGGCACAGCCAGGCTATTGTTGGCCGCTGTTTCCAGGAAAACAATGGCGCGAGTGGTGCAGGGTTTCGCCGGCCGGCCGCTGTCTCAGCCATCACATGGCGCAGCGTCTGTCCCCGCTCATCACCTGCTGGGACCTGGCAGCCGGAGGGGCTGTCACCCCACGGGCTCCAGCGTCTCAGGGGTAGAGCGGCGGGGAGATGCAGAGGAAGCTCTAGAAGCTCCCAGCTCTAGTGTCCAGCCTGGAGGCAGGAGCCTTCCCCTCCCGCTACGCCGCTGGGGCCAGGCCGTGGAGAAGCACCCCAAGCCCCGACACAGCGCCTGGGCTGGCTCTTACCGCCACGTCCTGGCTCGGAGCTGGGGTCAGGGTGTCATGGGGGACTCCCAAACCCCCTCTGAGCCCTGGGGGGTTTGTCAACCCCACGGCTTCACTTGTGGCTTCCTGGCCCGGCCCTGGCTGAGCGTGCCACAGCGCCAGCCCTGCGCGGGAGCTCAGCACATGCTGAGCGTGGCACTGCAGAGCTCTGGGGAGCCCTTTCCCTCCCTTGCACCCTTCTTCCCTCCCTTGCACCCTTCTTCCCTCCCTTTGCTCCTCACTGCGGTGCTGAGAGCCACATCCCCACTTGCTTCACAACTCCGTAATCCCTTTCTGTGCATCTGGAGACCCCTTTTTCTGCTGCCACCCCCCCAGGGCGACTCTTGGGACACCCCCCCACCCCCCTGTTTCACCCCAGCTCAGTGAAGCGGAGGGGCAGGAGGAGGGATTTTGCACCCCAGAATGTTGGATGGACAGAGCTGCCTTCCAGCTCCTTCCAGTCTGGCCCCTCTGGTCACCAGCTCATCTCCGGGGTCGTGCCAAGCCGTTTGGGCAGCTGAGTGCTGCCAGCCCTCTCTGCCCTGGCAAACGCACCCCTGGGGCATGTGCCTGCCTGGCTGCCCAGGTTTTTAAGAGGTGACACAAGGGCAGCAGCCTGGCATCCCCTTTTCCTTTTATTTTCATGCCTGAAGCGCTGCCAAAGAGACTTCATGGAGAGCGAGGGCAGTGGCAGGTCTGGGGGGGCATTTATTGAGCTTTCAGGGGGCTCCATGCAGCATTTTCTGCCCTAACTGAGACCGGAGAGTTTTAGCAACAGCAAAAGCTTTTTCAGCAGCAGATTTTGGCACACGGCGGCGGCGCGGGAGCCTGGCAGCTGCACTCTGCGCTGTGGAACGGCAACGCCGGCGAGCACTCGAGCTCCGTCCTGGGGGAGGAAGGAGGGGAGTGAGATC